ATGGAGGAATAAAAATTATCGTTCAGTTCCGACTTTGAACCAAATTGCATAAGTCATTATTGGTTCAGCGTCTGTCAACCAGAGGAATATATATTTAAAAAAAGTTGAATGGATTTTATGTGGTACAATGGTTTTTTGTTTTTTTTTTTGTTTTGGTTAAAGGATGGCAATAATTTTAACTGAAAGAAAATTTTAAATTTCATAGGAACGCGCACGCGTCTATTTGGATAAAGATATTTTGAATTTGAATTCATTTGACATTCTGGAAGATCCATAAGAACTTTTAACCGCGATGAGACGGGATTCCCCTCGAATCCCCGAAACGAGAGGCAAATGTGATTAAAATTTTTGAAATGTGGCTGATGTATTTTTGTAAAACATTTATGCTTTCTCGAGTACATTGCCTATAATACCCGAGGAAATTGTGGATGTCTTCCTTACTGACATCTCTTACTCAAACTCTCCATCCAATTCATAAGGTTCTTAATCACCTGAACAAGCACTGTTATTAACTGTCATGTTTTAATCACATAAAAAATTATCTATGGGACACAGAAATATTTACAGAGTGGGAAGCGAACCCACTACCCTCGGTGCGGAAGCCAATGGCTTAACAACTACGCCACCGGCTTATAACTGAAGCAACACAATTGGAAAGTTTGATAATAAATACACATTACTTATCTGTATTGCCTTAAAGACACTTTACTACAGCTTAACCACTTTAACCAGTGACATAACAATTTCTGTATTAGTTAAAGCTTTTTGACATTTTGTTTTAAATACTTAAAAAAACTGGACTAATGGAAACGCACTTCTTTACGGGATATTTAAATTCTACCCATTTGATAATAGAGAATACTTTGATATTAAAAAAGGTACTTTTATAACATAACTTTAACAATTAAAGGTAAATAAAACAAAGCGCGCATGCATTATAGTTTATTACACTGTACAATAAATATTGGGCTGTATACAAAATATAGAGGAATTCCAAAAGATATTGTCGACACTCGGGCATACAATAACATGAGTGCATAATGACCCCTACACACCTTTTAACTTCGTATAGTACAACTAAAAATAACCTACTGCTCTCGCCAATCTCGGGTTTTTCCCCACAAGTTATCACACCTTCTCAGATCTATTAACTAGCAAATGGTCAATCTTCGTGGTCGAACAGCATTCCTCGAGCGATTGGAACTGGCACCCCATAACACCAAAATCACCTCGGTTTCGTGGAATATGCGCGAAATATTTTTTATGGCAACATTTTTAAAGCAATTGTAAAATATCTCGGCTCTCGTATAGAGTGCTGTACTAAAATTAGTGTTAGAAATACACCCAGAACATATTTGTAAACTGCATCTGTTCGATTAATAGGCAGTTTTAAGGCACAAAAGAATGCGGGGGCCGTTCATTGCTTCATTATAATAAAGACGACAGCGATACCGATTAATTTAACATTACAGGAAGAGCTAATAAAACTAATGACTGTTCGTAATAGAGATATTTCAAATTCCGAATCGGGTGCAGATGAACTTTTGAATGTTGTCACTACATAAAAGAAAGGTGTCAAATAAAAAACACAACGGAATTTCGGAGTTCAACACCTTTTATTGGAATGTGGCTACCAAAGAGGCGTACAAATAAAAAATATACCAATTCTTTTTTTAATTTTTTATATACATATAAACACGACGTGCTCTGCGAATGTTCCACGTAACCGATACACAAGCGTTCTATCACACCACCTCGACTTAGTCGCTATATTGAGACCCATATTGCTCACTATAAGATTATAGGCACCCTTTCCGCGGCTTCGGGTAATCACACAATTGGTACGGGCGTACAATACGCATTTTGCTGCCAGCAGACAAATATATATCTTATTGTAACAGCATAAGGCGCGTTACAGCCCCAACGCTTTTGATCTACTTACCCCGCTTTAGCGAATCACATCAGAGGTTATTATATAATATATTCACGTTAAGGTTATTGTGTATTATAATCAGCATTATTGCATTATACGAGTATTTCATTATTCATTTGAGCTCCTTATTGCATTTTGATTGTCCAACAGTGGAACATATTGCATTTTAATACTTGCCACGCTAAACTATTGATTCTACATTATTTTATTTAGTTCAATTTGTCTGTACATAGCGATTTACAATCTGCGTAATTATAAGGTTCCCTGTAGGTAAAATTATGAAATATATATATATATACAGAATGGACTAATATTCAAGCAAGCTAAGGTCGTTGTAATTTTGACCAAAGGTCGTTAAAACATGTAATTAAAATAAATAAACACTAACTGCTTGTTTCGCATTGCCGTGCGTGTTTGAACTGTATCACACTGACATAAGATCCTAAAAATTTCAAATGTGCACACTTGTGTACCTACATAATTCAAATTCGCGCTTACATACGTAATTTTCAAAAAAATCAGTTTAGTGCGATCACCGAAAACACAAATAATCACTCAATACACAATCAAAAATTAACTAAAAAAAATTAGCCATAATGGAAATTGAAATTTACAGAGAAATTAATAAAGTGTATTGTAATATCTAACAATTTTAAAAGTAATACTTAAATATAGGAGTGCCGATAATAGATCGATATCGCTTATAGTATAACACTTAAGAAATTATCCCAAACAATCAAGACGCAACAAACAAACAGACGCACAAAGAAGTGTAAAAGTGTTGAGCTCCTTTCAAGAATATACACAATATATTCGTATCATGACATTCTTTCATTTATTTTATTAGATTGAGAGAGAAATTTGCATTACTTCACCAACATAGCCGAAGGAAATAATTAGTGTGCATATTTGAATTTATTCACGTCGCTGGCAACGCCGTTTGAATTGTACCATTGCGTAATGGCACACTTAAATGCAATAAATATATCACTGTTCCCGAATCAAACTCGAACGCAACCTGCAATTGATTCCCGAGGCATCAGAGTCCCGTTGTGTAAATCTAAGTGACGGGGGACATTGATAAACCGTCCAATTCTCTAGATTTTGGCACACTTTAATGGATTCCATTCGTGTCACTTATAGTTACACAGCAGTCTTTCCACAAAACTATTAAAAAATATCTAAAACAACATGAGAAAAAAATCTATACATTTTAAATTAAGAGGTATTTACATAAGATAGCCTCTAATAAACCATTTATATAAAAATGTACACAGAATAAATAGAACAATCAATCTAAAACCTCCTTATAAACATATTCTAACCATTACTTTATAAATAAATACACTAAAGCTTATTCAACTTATCAATCTAAAATGAGTATAGTAGTTATTATGAAAATTATGCTCTATTTAAATTAGAAAATAAAAATAAAACATTTTTAATTCAATCTCAGATCGATCGGTGCATAGATATTACGGGTAAAAAATCATAACAAAACAAAATAAAGAATAAAACAAAATTAGCGCCCAATGGTGAAGTATTATTGTTGCAAATAATTTTACGACGAAAAATCGCCTGTTACGTTGACTGTGCGAGTATAATATGACACATCGACCCTTGGAAAGAGACAATCGACTAATTTCGATTTCGTAGAACGCTATCTCTGTCACACAGTCCGTCCGTCGGTGCTTCGTACGAAGACGATTGTCTCTTTCGAAATATCGATATCTAATATTTATCGGCGAAAATCAGCGTAATGGTGATGTGAGAAAGGCTTTTGTGTGTTTACGAGTATGTGACGATCGTGAGAACGGATCTAGATGCTTCCGTTTATAGTAAAATGCCGGAGGACGGAATTTCGCAGACGAAAATGTAATTATGTTTATTTTCCCGGGGGAACTTCGTTTCGAATTGTACGTTAGGCGAATTGAGCGATTTTTGTTCTGTTGGCAGTGTATAACATTTACAGACTCTCAGACTTATTTACAGATCTTGTATAATTTATCAAACACCACGTCATGTCCTTTACGTGTTAAAGGAGATGTGATATGCCCTCGATCGAATACTCGCACCCCAATTTCGTTACAAAATCTAAGATATGTAGAAAAGAGACTAACAACGGCGAATACTTCTCTTGCCTAACAATTAACAAAATCACAGTATACTGTAAAAAAAAAATATGTACACTTTTAGTCCCTATAGGGAATATATCTACGTAATAAACTGTACTTTGTTTTGAGTATCTGAGCAAGTTTATTATAATTCTCAATTTTAGGTTTTCGTTTTATTTCACTTCAAAATTTAAAAAAAAAAAACAATTTTCCATGCTCGTCTAGCCACCTATGCGATAGAAAGAAAAACATCAAACGAACAACCAAAAAGCAACGTTGCTGCTTACGCAATACGAAATAATTTTGTACAACATGGCTAATTTCGATATCACCACTTAGTTCGTTGACGCTATATTCTCTACACAGATCTACAATTACATTTCGAGTATAAAATGACTAAACCTCTATGTTTGTATAACAACTCGATTACATATTAAACGCTACTCCTTTGTCCGTGTGCGAGCGTACGGGGCGTAGCGTGCACACGTAAATTTATCAAAAAAAGAAAACAAAAAGGTGTCGTATAGTACTACTATCCAAGTGCAAAATCTACAAGTATTCTTTTTTGGTCGCAAACATACTGATGTATAAAAGTGAACGTTACCGGTTCACGTGTGACCGATCCCTATTGTCGCGTGGGCCGTGACGTCACTGCAGCATCAACTCAAGATCGAGTAGGCCGCGCCGTCACGTCACTGCAGCATAACTCAAGATCGAGTAGGCCGTGCCGTGGCGTCACTGCAGCTAAACTCAAGATCGAGTAGGCCGTGCCGTGGCGTCACTGCAGCTAAACTCAAGATCGAGTAGGCCGTGCCGTGGCATCACTGCAGCTAAACTCAAGATCAAGTAGGCCGTGCCGTCACGTCACTGCAGCATAACCCAAGATCGAGTAGGCCACGCCGTGACGTCACTGCAGCATAACCCAAGATCGAGTAGGCCACGCCGTGACGTCACTGCAGCATCAACGACTCCAGGTTGCGGTTCAGTATGGTGTCCTTCACCGAGTTGAACACCACCTCGATGTTGTGCGTGTCGATGGCGGTGGTGAAGTGGTGGTACAGTGTGGTCTTCGGCTCGCGGCGAACGTTCGCGAACATGTTCAGTATGAACAGCTGCACGTCTTGCAGGCTGTGGGGGTCGCCCGCGAACTGGGGGTAGTACCAGCGTATGTCCGTCTCCCGGCTGGCCACCTTCCTGGCGAGCAGGTCCGACTTGTTCAGGAACAGGATGATCGAGATGCCCTTGAAGTTGACGTTGTTCACGATCGTGTCGAATATGTTGAGCGCCTCGGCGAGCCGGTTCGTCTTCCTGCGGAGCGGAAAGGGGCGGCTGTTAGCGACGTTGTCACACTCGGTTGTTCAATATAAAGAAAGGGACACGTATACAGCGTACGATTTCGTCTTTGGCAAGGAGTTGGCAACCCTATTGATCGTTCAATAGGGTTGTAAACTCCTCGCAAGTCACTGCCAAACTAAGTTAAGCGGTGACTTGGCAAGCTGTCACCAAAAACTTATCTATCTTGTGACTGTCTAAGCGTAGGAGACACATGCCATATGTTACATTACTTAACATAAATATCAATCGATCCTAACACTCGATTATAAAACACTTAACAGACGCACATCTTTTTGCTTGTTCCTATGAAAAAAGGTTGCGCACCAGCAAACGATCGATTACCTCATGATAGGTGATTGCCGCTAATAGTTATATAAACCTTCAATCATTTACCTTCTTCTCCGAATAATTAAGACTTCTAATTTACAACAGTCTTTTTGCCATAGTAATTTTCCGGTAGAGCCGCTCCATTCATAATAACAACAGAATTTACGACTGTTCCAAAATAATTACTCTTGTGTTCATAAAAACAAAACACAAACCTTGAAAGTATCATTAAGATTTTAAGCTAAGTTATAAAATATGACTGATTTCTAGACTTTTCTAATCTTTGCTTTCATGAAGTGGAGTACTCCTTGCTACATACATATTTCACACAAAATGTCTCCGCTCTGACCACATATATGGCAACACCGTTTATAGATCCACATCATTATCGGGTATTACCTACTAACCTTCAAACAGGACCTGCCAAAATTTCAGGGCATTTGACAAACTGCCGTGTCACAAGTTGATGAAAACAATGGTTAAACTGGATGAATTTGGATTTGAATTGCTTCCCCACCCACTGTACCCTGAAGATTTGGCCCCCAAACAATTTTACTGACTTTTTGTAGACATGAAAAAGATGTTCCAGGGAAAGAAGTTTTCCTCAAATGAAATTATTACCGAATCTGGGGCTTATTTGGAGAGCAAAGACAAATCGTTTTTCAAATAGAGGAGCGTTGGAATTAATATAACATTGTTGAAGGAGAGTATGTTGATGAATACAGTTTAATTTCTAAAAGAAAATCTGTTTTTCTTAGTCAGACCGGAGACTTATTGAGTGATGTGATAAGTAACACTATATAAATAATGATTCAGCTACGTTGCACGATAATATATTAAGCGATCTAGCCGTACCGAAACAAGACTCGAGAATCATAATTCAAGGAGCACGCGATTGTAAAACATCGATCTTATAAACTGGCCAAATGTTGACCAAATGGAATTGCAAAAAAAAAAAAACAGCGCAAGCGAATTCGAGGCGGTAATGAGGAAAACGTATACAAATATGAATCACTGGTGGACGTCGCTTAATGGAATCAGACTTATTTGGTTTTGCCTCCGCGGCATGGGGCATTCGATACAATAGGTTCCGTTTGCAGAGGCGGCGAAACGGGCGCATTTCGGTTCACGTTTTATTGACACGGTGCCGGAAAGAGCATAAATATAAACAACATATCCCGCCGTGTGATAAATTTAATGTTAATTAACAAGGCGAATATGTTAATGGCAGCGGCGATCGAGTTTATTCTTCGCCTGACCTTTGTGGTCAATGCAAAACGTTGAACGTTTTCTCAAAATCGAAACTCATGCTCATGCTCGCTTGGATCGCTTAATGAGAGATCTTTTGATTTTTACGCCGATAAAACATCTGTTGAATATTAAGACAGTTTTGCTAAAGAATACTAATTGACACATTTAATTATGTACGATATCTTATGTTACACTTTAGTACGTTACATGGACTTTTATAAGTGTTTGAAACGTCGGTAATTCAAATTTAAATATGTTTGAATTAAATTATTTAATCGGTTTTTATTTAAGGAATCATTAAATTAACTACTTGAGTGTTAGAGACACAAGTACCGCGCCTAATAAAAAATCCTATACATTCTACATTACATTCACATGATCAAAATGTCATAAACTGGGTATCATTATTCCATCATAACCGGTGAAGTGTTAAAAGATTCTCATCTTTAACTCTGGTTCAATCGTATTTCTCTCCGATAGTTCCCTAATTCCTCCCAATATGCGGCACAAATAAATGGATTGGAATAAATTGCTGACGATGATACGATGGGGACAAATTACACGTGTGGGCGATTGTAATTACAAAGTTTCGTAATGCGCGTGTGTGCGTCTGTAGTGATTACCTGCGTAGGTGTGATACAGTGTTTATGTGTGTGAGTCTGTGTACAAATGGCGTCGTACATGTTTCACATTTATGTTTGTTCACAAATGCGAACACGATGAATCACCGATACAGATATCGCCAGTTACAAACTGCACCGAGTTGTGCGAGTGCTCTATCGCGTCGAAAGTAAGATAGGAGCCTAGATTAAACACGTGATAGCGTCGACGGGAGCAATTATGACCAATTCGTCGTTACTCAACTGGTATTGCAGCGAATTGCGCGTTGTCTTATTTCGCAGTAATTACATTATGCGACGGTAACGATTAAAGCGAAAATTCACGCGGATAGAAGTCGACAAGTAGTTACAAGGTGCAAGTCACCTTGTAATGATATCGTAGGTCACATCTAATTTTAGTTACATATATTTAGTACTGTAGTATATCCTGACTTTGCGAACAAATAACAACCCATATTGGCGGAACAGACTGAGGTTGTAAGTCGTCTGAATGTCCTAACATAATAAAAAGTTAACCCATTCCGTCTGCTTAATTATTTGTTTTATTTATCTACGCAGAAAGCTCTCACTGAATTTAATTTTTGTAAATGTTAATAGACTAAAGGCCCATTTACACGGTGCCAGTTTCTTGCCTGTTGTATACAATTAAATTGAAGCAATAAATGAGTTGCATGGTCTAAACAACACATAACATTCTTGACTGTTGAACAAGACTTGCTTCAAGTTTTGTTTCAAAACTTTCCTTGGTGTAAACAGCACACACAATAATTTCTTAAGCAATTCTTGTATTCAATTGCATTCTCTCTTCCTTTGCAAACATGAGTGCGATGAGTGAGGGTGTTTAATCGTTGCTGTTCTTTTGAGGCAAGAATATTGAGAAAAGGTCGTAAAAAAAGTTGGACGATAAAATGAATAATAATATATGGACAATAATAAATAAATCTTAATGAAATATATTAAATCTGCATAATCTAACTTGAACACTTATCTTTGACCCATTTTTTTTTAAATAAACAGCCCTTTTCAGAACGTTCAACACTTGAACGAAATATTTGTCAACGCAAATACGTGCAATACTTGAAGCAACACGCCAATAAATTGTACGCGCACATACAAGCATGTGTTTAGACAAGTCAAAACTTGAAAGCAATAATCGCCTAAACATAATTGCATTGGTGTAAACAAAAGACATTTGCAATTATTTCTTGTCAAGACTTGCATACAATAATCGCATTCAATTTTTTTTACTATATCTGCGTGTAAACTGTTGCTTACAATTCTTGATGGTCAATTACTGCGGGCAATTTATTGCATTCAATTATTGCTCTTGTATGTACAAGAAAATGGCATCGTGTAAATGGGCCTTTAGAGCCAGGACAATATATGGAAAATAAAACTAATACATCAACATAACATTCAGTCAAATTGATAACAGATAACAACTATACATGTATATCTCAATAAAAAGACAGTTATTAAATAAAATAATTACAACATTACTTTCGTTTTACGCGGGAAAGAGCACAAAGGCTCATTATTAATTCACGTACATAATACTCTACAATATTGATAGCCACATCCCACTAATTTATTGCCTTTATTCATTTTTGTCTTTTTAATGTTTCCATACGTTTAAACACGCTTCTTTTCGCTTGAATGCAATAGTTCTTTTGTTTAACAAGTAGTACCGAACTTCCATCTATGTTAGTATAAACATTTCCCTCATACTGATACCTATGGGTTGACCTACATACTGGTCGATGATACAAACTGACTGCACAAATCTAACGAGCCAATGATGTTTAATAACATAGATGACCCAAGTCCATACTGCGAGGCGTTTAAAAATTGTTCCGCTTTTCTTTATATGGACATATATAAGTGAATGTGACACATGATATAGAACGTATATGCAAAGAGATAGCAGTCTAAAGAATTACAATCTATTACAATCACACCAATTAGTGTAATTTGAGTGCCTCCCTTTCGTTGCGCTAGTGTCTTATATTTGTATGTAATATCATTGACTATGACCTATACTAGGCGGCAAATAAAGTTTGGTTTCAGTGATCAGTGAATAAACAAAAACAAAAATTGACCCGATTGACGTAAAAGATAGTATCCCGACGTCAGACGGTGTGGGTTCGATCCCCACTACTGAAAAAATATTGTGTGGTGGTGGACATAGTGATTTTCTAGGTTAGTTTAGTATTTATTTGCAAAAAAAGTATGTTTATCAGTTAGCTAATATCCATACAAAGCTTTACAAAGTACAAAGCAAGTATGGGACTAGATAAGGTTGTGCAAAAAAAAATTGCCCTGAAATATTTCATTTCTTCGTTTTTTCTTTTTCTAATGAAAATCAAAATTTTAGTATAACCATCAGATATTGTAGATACAAATCAAACGATAATAAATTAAAAAGATCTGTTGTGTTGGGGTAGCAGGCCGACATCGTTACATATGCGTATTCAATTAGCAATGATCTATTGCCAGTCACCTTGGAGAGGCCGCGCGTACGTCGCCATTTTTACCAGCGAGTCACGAAATGGCAATTTGGACGCAGGAACCGCCTGCTCACGAAGCTACACAAAGACCCCAAGTACGAGTGCGGATGAGGTCGCAGACGCGGGGGAAAAAACCGGCGATTATGTAAATTACCAAAACAGATGTAAAGCAGCGCTGTTATACACCTCGATGCGATTCTAAAATTCATACTCTAAATTTGAGAGAGAAAAGAAAGAACGATTTTAAGTACCTACGTGACATATGGAATTATATCTATTGCACTTTCGCCAATCAAGACGAATCTAATGACGACCCATATGGTTGAATGAAACTGTTCTACTACTTGGTCACGTGACCATGAACGCTGGAAAGAGTTCGAAACGTCGGGATAAAATCTGTAAAATATTTTCATTTAATCACGTATAACATTCACGTAAAAACAAGAAATGAATATGAGACACCCCATATTATCAAAACCGTCAAGCTGACAAGACAACTGCAAACGAAATAAACAAACATATTATGGTCGAGAAATATGATCCTCTTGACAGTCGAGTAAAAATTACTTCTTTACGTTATTTTTGACCTTTTAAGGTCAGTTTTATCATTGTTTAAATTTCAAATTAAATTACAGTTTAATATGAGTGTTCAACAATTGTTTCGTTCACAAATTTCACGGAATCGAACCCGCAATGTTGAAAGGAATCTGTACTCAGCTCGAAATCAAATCCCGCGACACAAATGGTCACTACTGTGAGAACGTTTCTTTGATGGAATATATTTCATATAAGACCACATTTTTACGACGGCCGTAGCCTATTCGATAGCGACCCGATAAAATCATATTTACGTCTGTGGCACGGATTTATAACGGAGCGTGGTGTGCGTGTGAGAAATTAATGTAGGCCGAGATTCGAACTTAATGCGTTTTTTACGGCACCTTGACGGTATTGCCGCGTTCGATCATCGGGTGACCGATCTGCATTTTCAACAAATGTATTTATATACGATTTAATAACAACTGATTGATAACCCTGTTGGTTGTACTTTGTAGGTACATACCTACTTCGAAAGTTCACACCTCAAGATACCATAGGGCCGGACCCCCCAAAAATTTTGTTTTGAGTTTCTTCAAATCCTCTCCAACCGTAATAGCATGTTGGTGTACCGACGGTGATTCGTTTACTAAATATAAATAAAATAAATATTGTAGGACACATTTTTTACACAATGTTCTCTAGTCCCAAACTAGGCAACGCAACTAGGCAACGCAACTAGGCAACTATGGGTACTAGAAAAGTGATAGACATACTTAAACATAATTTTCTTTTGTAAATAAATACATATTATACATGTATAAACACCCAGACACTAGAAAAACACTATGCGATATTTTTCCAGTAGTGGGAATTGAACCCACACCCTCTGGTGCAGAAGGCAGACACTACCCACTACGCCATTCGGATTGTCAATTTAATTTGGGGTCGATATAGTGCTTAATCATTGTTTAATATCTGACGTGTGAACAAGTAATAAATCTCCTAAACTATACGGGAATAGTAACGTTACTTACAAAAACCCTAAGCTTTTAAAAAACAAATCATTTTACTTATAATAATATAGTAAATAACTTCGAAGGCGTTCCGAAAAACTGCTTGACAACAAAAATCTGACAAAAATTCAGGGGGTTCTACGTGCGCTTGCTATCAACAAGGGCATCAAACGGTCGCGGTCGCGTCACGGTCATCCAAGGTCACTTAAAGGTCACCGCTGCTCAATGGACGCCCTCACCTGTCCTCTGAAAGCACCTGGTCGAACTCCGACGACGACACTAGGAACAGTATCGACGTCACCGAGTCGAAGCACTGCGTCCACTTCTGCCGCTGCGTCCGCTGCCCGCCGACGTCGACGAACACGAAGGGCACGTTGTTTATGTTGATCGTGCACTCGGTTATGCCCTTGGTGGCCTTCCGGCAGTGCAGGATGTCCTGGTGGGAGGGCACGTAGTCCGGCCGCGCTATGCGCTCCAACTCGCCGAAGAAATAGCTCACCGAGTCGCTCTGGAAAGTGTGCAGTTGACGGCAAATTGAATTAAACGAGAAAAATAAACGGAAACAGTGAGCAGATTTTAACTGAGATAGTTTTAACTGAATGGTATACTAGCCATGAATGGTACGTTTTAACTGAATGGAACGAATACCGCGTACCAATGGACTGATATATGACCATCATTTCACTAAAAACGATGAAAAATTACTCTTAGAGGTTTTGAAACCGACTATACAGTAGGGGACGAAAGAGACTGTTGATTGACTAACGGCCGGTTTCGATATTCTATCTATCTGTAGATTTAGTGGTTTCTAGTGATAGGTATTTGACATTAGGTCCATATTACGTACTTACGTCAAAATTATATCTCCAGTAACCAAATTTAAACGTAAACTCTATTGTTCCTAATAGAGATGGCAACCGAGCAAGTTGTTTACTTGCTGGTAAATGTTCTTCGTGGCTCATAACACCAAGGCGTTGCCAACCGTTAAGAGAGGGGGTCCGGATACCTGACATTCACCGGACGCACTGCAGAATAGTGTAATTACTGTGAGAGATGGCCTATCCGTAAACCAAGAACCGATACGTAAAGCTGCTAGGTGCTCAGTCAGTTTTTCACACAATTATGAAATTATAAAAAATCGATCGATATTATAAATATATTACTTTTTCCGTGTAGTGTTTAGTATCCCTTGTTCTTCAAGTCTACTTTGCTTATCCAAACGGTCTCTAATTGGATCGCATCGATTCTGTCCGTATCTATCCTCATTATTATAATTGACGCCTTAAAGTGGCTTACTCACAAAAATTGCAGTTTAAGGTTTGTCTCATCCTAACAATTCATTTACACGGATGACTTCCAATCTATTTTTGCCTATGGTGATATATGATAATATCATATTTTTCAGACAACAGATCCAATTTTGAAAACCCAGAAAGAACATGCATACGCATATAAGAAGCAGAAATCTAAAAAAAAATCAGTTAATAATTTTAATATGAAATAATACAAGCATCCTTTTTAAAATTAAAAAAAAATCAGAACACCAAAGACATCACAAATATTATATTAAATTCCGCATTTTTTACTAAAAGTTTAACACGAAAAACAACAGATCTCCGACAGTAGTTCGATTAAATTATTTTGTAAAACTTTATTTTAAATATCGTGCGCCTTTGAAATCAAACTGCTAAAAAATATATAAGCCGTAAAAATTTACTAGTCTAGGACCTCGACTCGAGATATGAGATGGCTTGTTAGAACGCCCGTGGCAAAGAAACGAGGACAAATACACATACGTTTTTAGTCATGATGTTATTTATTATATGCTGTTAACGATGCTATCAGTTCTCCAATTTGGCTAAACGCTAATGCCTGGTGCCAAACGGAGCAAAAGGTACCTCCACCACCAAAGATCCCAGAATAGTATATCCTATTCTGAGGATACCAAAAGTATCAACATAGGACTGAAATTAAAAAAAAAAACCCATTGAAACTATCAAGCGTCTCTTTATTACTTGGCAGGTTAAAGACAAAAGAGGTATTATGTGCACTAATTTACAAGACAACGGTTAAAAAGTGAGTCGCTCTACAGAATTACAAGAACAGGTCCTCGACCAATAACGAAAATAACCAGTTTCTATTGCCCCACCAAGGAATATCTTGCTTTCGCTTCCTAATGAAACATCAAATGTATCCAGAGAGATTACGAAAAGGGCGGGGTTCCGATTTAAGGGTGACTAAACTCCGTTCAATGGATGCATCGGGCTGGCGCCGGTTTCACTTACGCTAATGGTCAGAGCACCCGTGAAAGCTCACGGTCTTGATTCGCAACGCATGTTCGTAAACGCATGTTTTACGGTGGTAGGGCCAGCGGCCTCGGCTGTTGCACAAATGGGCAGGCCCGTCCGGGTAAGTACCACGACCTCACAGAAGACCGGCGTAAAGTGGAAGTATGACAAATACTTTCGCGTTTCGTCTGGTGAGTGAGGTAGCCGGAGCCCAATTTTCAAAAGGTTGTCAACGCATCTGTAACCCTCGGGTGTGGCAGATGATCATGGGCGGCGGTATACTTACCAACAGGTGAACCGTCTGCTCGTTTGACAACTTTTCGCATAAAAAACAAAAAAAAAATGGGCTATCGTTGGAACAAAGATAGGACTAACGGAGGCGCCGTCCGCCCCAGGGATTGGTTGATTTGCCTTTATCGTTACGAAATTTACGGAGAAACATAAGGGTCGATGTACGTAAAAAGATTATTGTCGTTGCCAAAAAAAAAACAAACCGAGCAAATCTCGGTCCTCCAGGTACTATTATATTAGAAAGACTGTTGTGGCTAAACGGCTTGTCGGAAATTTTGAAGGGAGATAGTTGAAAAGCTGATTACTTTTCCTTGTGAAATTTAACTATCCATCGTCGAACCACGCAATAAAAATCTCAATATAAAGTTAGTATAAAAAATGTAGATTTTGTAACTTTGGCCTGGGCGACCTGGGCTTTCTCGTTTTATTTTTCCTGTACAGATAGACTACACACAAAACTTTATCTAAATAAAAAAAATTGATCTAAGTCGCTATGAGCCGATTTCGAGGTAAATGAAATGTTATTCTTATATAAATACATCTTCGTGTATTAAAATATTCTTACAAAATGAAAAATCAAGCAATAACCTAATATACCGTGAAAAGCTACTCAAGGGTATTACGCCATAGCTTCGAATGTGAGAAACTGTTAAAGTTTATTAAAGTTAAGTCAATCAAAATTATATACAACGAAACCAGTTTAACACCTTACTCATATGAGCTAAATAAATTTTTACACAAGTTCATTTCATTTAAGCCACTAAAGCGTTATACCTTTGACGAACACAGGTCTTTTTGTAAAGATTACTCACTTTACCACTCATTTTTAATTAAAAAAAATAACTAAATTAAAATGTCTTTTAATATTTTTCTCTCGTGAGGTACACAATGTTGAAATTTAACACGTGAACATGTTATTAAAGTCGTTGACAAAGAATACCATGTTAGATGGTAATTATTCTGTATTTTTATTGTACATTTTTGTGTGTTTCTCTTTCTTTTTAATTTTGTTCTGAAATTAATTTGTTTTTTAAATATTTTTACATTTATTTTGATTCAGTCTAGTTAATCCTGTAACAATGCCGTGTCACCTAATCAGGTACATGCATCAGAATTTTAGTATATATCTTACTATTTAAATGTTAAATGTATGTACTGCTGGTGTCCTTTTTAAATAAAATAAATAAATACCACACAGTTTATTCGTGGTAACAATTCTTATTTGGTACCGGCACTGGCATTTGAACTTACTTACTTGTGTCCCACGAGTACTATAAAATTAAAGATGAGGGCGAGCTGGTTTCAATCTTAATGTCATGCTAATGAAAGCTGATTCCTTTAGTAATAAATTTGGGGTATATAAAAGAGCTTAATCATCGTTAAATAAACGACTTGTAAGCAAGTTAGTAATAAATAGAACGATGAAGCCGTGTGAATATGGTCATCAAAACTAAAACCAGTAAAAACCGTGCTGCAGCGTACGGTTGGCAAAATTGGTCGATCACGACCAACCTCGGTCTAATCAGAAAAGCAAAGCGCACTCGAATCAATCGACCTAGATATCAGCCGGCGAACAATTGTTCACGTGCGTCAATTGTTCAAAGCGCAGTCAGTACCTTAGAACTATCCTTTGACCTGCAACATACGGTGCATAGTAACGGCAACAAACATAAGATTGCTGCCCTAAACGTAGTCATCAGAGAATAACAATATTAGATACAACAATATTATAGAGATAGAACAATATTAGGAATTAAAATTAAAAATAAACGCGATAAATCCGTAAAATTAGTTTCAGTTATAATATTACATATTTTAATATAACAATTTAAAGATTAGAATAATCTTTTACTTCTATTCAACGCGCGTCAACAGTATGATTTCCGGTAGTCCATCAGAAATTGGAAGAGCTAATTTCCACGATAAAATACACCAACCTAAATAAAACCAACATAAATCCGCCGGCAATTTTTCCGGTGGTAGGGCCACGCAGCAGCCTCGGCTGTTGCACGAATGGGCAGGCCCGTCCGGGTAAGTACCACGACCTCACAGAAGACCGGCGTAAAGTGGAAGTATGACAAATACTTTCGCGTTTCGTCTGGTGAGTGAGGTAGCCGGAGCCCAATTTTCAAAAGGTTGTCAACGCATCTGTAACCCTCGAGTGTAGCAGATGTCCATGGGCGGCGGTATTCACTTAACATCAGGTGAACCGTCTGCTCGTTTGACAACTTTTCGCATAAAAAAAAAAAAAAAAAAAAATAATAAATAAATAAAATTGACACAACTACAGCTAATGCAGTGAAACTAATGCAGCCTAGGCTGGAGAAAGTGGCAATATATCTTGGCCCTATGAAAAAAAATGAGACACATTTTAGCAAATTAGTAAACTTAAAATAAGCAAACAATACAACGACCGATTGGCCTCCGTTAACCTGTCTCTTGCGCCAGAATATGTAGGTTCGATCCCCATCCTTGGAAAAGTATTGTGTGATGTACTGTTTTTATAGTATGTGGCTGTTTGTCTTATTCATATTTACAAAAGAAAAGTGTGTGTCAGCATGTTTGTCGGTTACCTTGTGACTATTTTTTAATAATTTATTATTAATCTTTTGATTTTTCAATAACGTTATGTCCATAAATATTTAAAGGATTGTGCAATTCCCTCTGGATGTAGATTTCGCACCTACCTGAAGTGTTTCGTATGATTAAGCACTGTTTTATATAGCATCCGTTCGTTTTACATGTAGACGGTTAAGACAGGCGCCACCATCTCCGATTAATGATTAATTCTATCCCGACTGCAGGCCCGTAATCCACACTTGTGAACCAACAGTTTTGTTATAACGTAACATACCAACACGTGTGCGCTTCGCCTCGTTTACACAACGGGGGTTTAAACACAACGGGGCATTCACACCTCGACGTCTGA